ATTGAGAAACTGTATTATCATACTTAAAAACTTAATGTATTTGTTCTGTGTATAATTTTGTCAAATACTTTATGTAATAAACTGGTAAATTATCGTTTGTTGCTGCATTTAGTGCACATGTATGCTATAATTTTTAACGAATTATACGAATCTGCTACAACTCTATTTATACCATGTTAGAGAACTGGCTTGAACTTTGGTTGAACACATTATTATGTAACCAAGTTACTCAACAAACAGTGAATATAGAATGCTGTTTGTTTTAGCTGAAACACATGTCAGTGTTACTATCTGTTAAATGTACTATTGAACAAAAGTTTTTATGTTATCCCTAGCGAAGCACACATTATAAGTGGATTTGTATTCGGTAATAACATCTAAACATTGTTACGAACGACAAAAATTGAATTTTTTTTATAATAAATTGGAGGCATTTTTAGCTGGTTTCTCCCAGGACATCAAATATCTTGAAACTGGGCCTCTACAAATTTATATATTTTTGAGAAATATTATAATTAATTATTTATGGTCTGTTTGGGCCATGCTGAGGAATGAAAATGAAAATGACATTTTCCCATTTTCATTCCTCCTAGTTTAACCAGGAATGAAATTTTGGACTTCTGTAGGAATGAGCCCATTATATTATAGAAACCAAACAGTTTATTTTATTTTCATTCTTACGTGGTTACCGCTTAATACCTCTAACATAGTTTTATCGTATGTAAATTCAAACATATATTTTCGAGCCATTTAAGGCATCAAATCAGCTTACTTTATCGAACATAATTTTGACAGATATATGTATTTTATCAAGCATAATTAAACACTATTGACTAAATAGAAAAGGGTTTTATAAAATTAATAAAAGTATGTTCAAGTTAGTCTAGACACCTGAGAAAAGAAAATTAATGAATAACGATAACGACAATAATAATATAAAAAAATATGTACTATATTTTGAAGAGAAATAGGATGATTCCGAAAATGGAAAAAAGTTTTGATGGAAACGTTTCAACGTAGAGGATGATGAGGGGCGGACCTACTAAGAGAGTAGGGCTAGTTGTGCACCTGCAGATGATTTGACCGACCCTATTCTTGCTACGACATTTGCACATTTAAATGATACTACAGTAGTCTCAAGATAATTAGCAGCCAAAGGTATCTGTCCAACAGTAGATCATTTAGATTCAACGTCAACTATGCTACAGCCCCAGATCGTTAGCGATGAACATTATGAAACTGCACAACAAGTTAAGCAAACATTACAACGTTACAAAGAACTTCAAGATATTAGAGCTATTCTTGGCTTAGACGAATTATCCGAAGAAGAGCGTTTAAGCGTAGCAAGAGCGCAAAAAATTGATGCACGGACCTCTGTTATCGTTACGTCGTGATGGAAATCTTTTACTTATTGTAACTGTGCACCTGCTTAATTTTGAAGGATGATCTTACATGTTCTTAACCTGACCTCTGGAACCAAGCTCAAACCAATTAGGCACCACCCTTGTGGTTAAAATTATAGTTTTTACTGATCAAATACTATTGCTTTTAATTTATTACTGTCTCCATCTTACTTCTATTTCGTATTTTTTTTGGTGAATTTTTTTTCTTTTCAGTTTATCCATTAACCTTAAACTTGTTTTTTTGTCTTGGTTTAACAACAACACGGAGTTTGAAATAAATTGAAAAGGAAATAAAACTCATCATATTTAACGGTTTAATATGTTGTACGAGTTATTATTTGAAAATACCTGAGAACGGGTTATTTTTCTTGTGTATATGATGTCGTCAAACATGTTTATATAATAATTTGATAAAATTATATTTTGATGTTGAGCTGTCGATTATGAACTCAACCAAAAAATAGAAAAAAGTTCTCGTAAAGGTTGAATTTGGCAAAAAAAAAATACGTCGAGCGTAAGACGTGATCTTCTGTCTTGTTTAAAAAGTCAAGGTCGATTCCAGTTGTAAACACGTATTGGATCAAATCGATACAATTTTTCCCGAGTCAAAAGATGTTGACTTTTCCTTATTTTAAACCGTGACTTTGCAAGTTAAACCAAATTGTTTATGGATGCATATTACTTAAAATTCAAGATTACAAGTAGAACGTGCATGATTTCATCTTATTAAAAAAAGCTCTATGTTTGAATTCGTGTAACAAACTGCATATAAACATAATCAAATACATAATAAACATCATTTTAACTATAAAAAATCTAAAATGTAATTAAGATAATAATTGAGTTCTAACATAATACTTAATTATTATCTTAAACTTTTTTTATTAACTCAAAAATAAATTAGTTCCTTATTAAACTTCAATTAAATTATCATATAAAGAAATTACACAAAAACGAGAACCTTTAAATAGTTAATTTGATACTAATATCAATTATTTTTTTCAAAATTTTATAATATCTTCAAATTTATATTTTATTAAAAAATAAAAACATTTTATTTTCCTCAAAACCACATAAAATCGCATTATAACATCGATAGAGCTAAAAATATAAAAAAAAATTAAAATCAAGATGTATCTCGTTACATTGCGCGAGTACCATACTGGTTAACATTAAACCATCTCTTTTATATTTGTCCTTCATTCGTATGCATGACCTCGATTGGTTCAATCTCTTTTAGGATAAGATGTTTGAGGCCAAATAAAACTCGTACTCGACATCGTTGTCACGTACACAGTCCAATCTATTAATCCAATAACACGGGGTAATTATTTAAATGATCATCTTGACCAAACAATTTTAAGAAATAGTCATCAAAATATTTTTCTTTAAAATGTCCATTGACAAGTAAATCTGACGTTGCAAGCCTACTTTTGCTTGTGGTATCAGATTTTTCTGACCATAATCTGACTAAAAAAATAGAAACAAACAAACGACAACTTGCTGCTTTTATGACATCTGTAGAAACTTTGTAGACCTCAAAAGTATAACAAGCCTCACGGGTCGAAATTTGAATAAAAGACAAGTTATAGCATCAAAACTGCAAGTTGAATGATCGAAAACGGATAGTAAGGGATTGTTTTTTTACCTCTTAATAATTCCATAAATTCTACTGTTAGTCATTTGCAAACAGGTTCGTGTCCATTGGTTTAAAAGAAATATTCAAGTATCCATTAAATGTCTAAAATACCTTTCAACAAAACTGGAAGAACATTTGGACCAAAAAAACGTCGAACCAATAACAGCAATGATGACAATGGGCAAGTGGGTGATTTTAGCATTAAGCCCGGCCAGAAAATAGGTTGCATTTTTTTTTGATTAACCTGGATATCCAACCCGTTATGTGAGCTGACTAATCCCAGGGCGACCACCTGCTTTGCAGATATGCCAGAGTTATCGCATTTGAACCTCCATGACCACAAGGGGATTTTTATTCCTTATTGGATTTGAACTTGAGACCTCCTGATATTTTTGACTTTTAGAACCAAGCTCAAACCAATCAAGCACCACCCTTCTGGTCAGGATCATTCTAATATTCAAAAAGTGTTGCTAAAAAACAAAATTTACTGGTTTAACATCAACACGAGTTTGAAATAAATTGAAAAGGAAATAAAACTAATCATATTTAAGAATTAATATGTTGTATGAGTTATTATTATTTTTTTCTAAAGGGCCGTTTATCAAACATTTACCCGGTAAGTGCTTATCAGTAAAATTTAACACTATTATGTACTTACTGGGTAAAGTTTAGTCCACCAAAACGACATAGTATATAATAATTTACCCGGTAAGCGCTTACCGTGATAAGAGTCGTTGCCCTCACTTACCAGGTAAGACTCTTGATCCTTGTCTCGCTCTTACCGGGTAAGATTCTTGATCCTTACTATATCCATCCGGTGAGGTAACGTTCCTTGGTAAGCGCTTACCTGGGTAAGCGTTTGGTAAACGGGCCCTAAATATTGATAATACTTGAGAAGCGGTTATTTTTCTTGTGTATATGATGTCGTCAAACATGTTTATATAATAATTTGATAAAATATATTTTGTTGTTGAGCTGTCGATTATGAACTCAACTAAAAAACAGAAAAAAGTTATCGTAAAGGTAGAATTTGGCAACAAAAAAAAAAACACGTCGAGCGTAAGACGTAGTCTTCTGTCTTGTTTAAAAAGTCAAGGTCGATTCCAGTTGTAAAAACGCATTGTATCAAATCGATACAATTTTTCCCGAGTCAAAAGATGTTGACTTTTCCTTATTTTAAACCGTGAGCTTGCAAGTTTTTTGATCGATTTTAAAGGTGCATCTGCTCAGCAACATTCCCGGGTCTGCCATTGTGGGGATGTGCTACCTTCCTATTTTGTACGTATATTATATATGTATGATATATAAAGATAGAGAATGGCAGATTCATACGAGAATATTAATTAAACAAGAGAATAAGAAAATAAGCAAATCACATGTGATTTACACTAAAATGTATGATTTTACACTAAAATCACAAGTGATTCACACGTCTTGCATTGATCATTGGTGTAAAATCACATGTGATTTTGCATGTCATTTGATGTTTTCATTTTTTTTAGTTAATGTTTTATATATATATATATATATATATATATATATATATATATAGGAACGATCAAATACAAACCACCCATATTTGTAAAAACCGTACAAACCACCCTTATCCGTCAATTTTAATGATTTTGTTTCATGAAATTGTTTCATATAATACTTTTCTAGATGAAATTGTTTCATATGTGATTATGAAATTATTTAGTATAATACTTATGAAATTTTAATGAAATTATTTCGTGTATTTCTTTAAAATTAACATAATGAAAATGATAATATCCATGATTAACACCATCCACAATAAAAATGATTAATCAACTTCTCATAATTACAAAAAATTGAAAAATCGAAAAAATAAAAAATTATGAGTGGTTGAACAAGGTTTGTAGAATTTACACATGATTTGCAAAGTAAACCTCTTTCTCTCTCTATATATATATATATGGGCCCGAATAATTGTTGTTGAAGGGAAATAGTGAAATGATGAAAAAATATGATGGTGGTTCCAGGAAGCTCGAGCGGAAAACAATCGAGAAGAACCGAAGAATTCACATGAAAAATCTTTGCTACAAGCTTACTTCTGTCGTTCCTTCCTTATCCTCTCAACCCTATAAGGTGATCTCATGTTCTTCAGCTTATATATATATATATATATACACACACACGCACACACACACATATATATATATATATATATCAGTATTTATATATTAAGGATTTTTGGCAGCAGTGTTTTCCGCAGGATAGTCTATTCGATCAATCAGCTGCTTACATCAAACAATTACAAAACAGAATAGAACAACTGAAGGAGAAGAGGGATGCAACATCCAGATTGCTTAACAACGGCACCAGAAACGATCCAAGTTGTTACGATCAACCGGCGGTAAGTTGCGACGGCGTAAGGCTGCCGACGGTGGAGGTGAAAGAATTTGATGATGGTTTGCAAGTGAATTTGACGAGTGGATCGGAACGGAATTTCACGTTTTCCGATGTCGTTAGGATAGTAGAAGATGGTGGAGCTGAGGTGGTGAAGAGTGGTTACACCACCGTTGGTGGAAAAGTCTTTTATACCCTCCATGCTCAGGTACAAAATTACTAAAATACCCTCCTAGCTAGATTGTAATACACATCGATGATCGATGGTTAACGATTGTTTTCCGTAGGCAAGAGTTTCGAGGATTGGTGTAGAGATAACAAGCGTATACGAGAGATTACAAGAGTTGGTCAATCGGAGCACGTAAACATATATAGAAACCGTAACACAAGCCGTTTAAACTGGTCAAACCAAGTTAAACCAAATTGTTTTGGGCAGTTTGAATGGTCTGACGGTCAGGTTCACTTTGAAAAATAGTCAAACCGTTCGATTCGGTCTGGTCTATCGTTTGAACGTCTTTTAACAGTTTGGACTGAACTGACCGTCAAAATACACATGTATTAATTATATATATATATATATATATATATATATATATAGAGGAGTGATCATATGAAAACCGCCCTCATTTGTGTAAACCGTGCAAACCACCTTCATTTGTCGATTTCATTGTTTAATCTTATGAAATTTTTTCATGAAATTGTTTAATCTTGTGAAATTGTTTCATATAATACTTTTTTTGATGAAGTTGTTTCATATATGGTTGTGAAATTGTTTCATATAATACTTAATGAAATTGTTTCATGTATTTCTCTAACATTAATGAAACTGTTTCATGTATTTCTCTAAAATTAAAATAATGAAGATGATAATATCTATGATTAACACCCTCCACAATAAAAATGATTAATCAACCTCTCATAATTACAAAAAAATGAACAAAATGAAAAATTATGATTGGTTGAATGCGGTTTGCACGGTTTGTACAAATTGAGTGGTTTGCATTTGATCGCTCCCCTATATATATATATATATATATATATATAAACAAAATATTTACATTTTATTAAAGCTCTATGTTTTTATGATAATATCTATGATTAACACCCATATTTTTAAACAAAATATTTGCATTTGATCGCTCCCCTATATATATATATATAAAGTTTTTATGCATAAAGTATTGTTTATTGATGCATATTTACTTAAAATTCAAGATTACAAGTAGAACGTGCATAATTACATTTTATTAAAGCTCTATGTTTGAATTTGTGTAACAAACTGCATATAAATATAATCAAATACATAATAAACATCATTTTAAATATAAAAAAATCTAAAATATAATAAAGATAATCATTGAGTTCTAACAGAATACTTAATATTATCTTCAAATTTTTTCTTTATTAACTCAAAAATAAATTAGTTCCTTATTAAACTTCAATTAAATCATCATAAAAAATTAAATTAAAGAAATTACACAAAAATGAGAACTTTTAAATAGTTAATTTGATACTAATATCAATTATTTTTTTCAAATTTGTATTTCATTAAAAAATAAAAGCATTTTATTTTCCTCAAAACCACATAAAATCGCATTATAACATCGATAGAGCCAAAAATATAAAAAACATTAAAATCAAGATATATTTTGTTACATTGCGCAAGTATCATACTGGTCAACATTAAACCATCTCTTTTATATTTGTCCTTCATTCGTATGCATGACCTTGATTGGTTCAAACTCTTTTAGGATAAGATGTTTGAGGCCAAATAAATCCCGTACTTGACATCGTTGTCACATACACGAGTCCAATCTATTGATCCAATAACACGGGGTTATTATTTAAATGATCATCTTGACCAAACACTTTTTAAGAAATAGTCATCAAAATATTTTTCTTTAAAATGTCCATTGACTAGTAAATCTGACGTCGCAAGCCTACTTTTGCTTGTGATGTCAGATTTTTCTGACCATAATCTGAGTAAAAAAAATAGAAACAAACAAACGACAACTTACTGCTTTTATGCCATCTGTCGAAACTTTGTAGACCTCAAAAGTATAACAAGCCTCACGGGTCGAAATTTGAGTAAAAGGCAAGTTATAGCATCAAAACTGCAAGTTGAATGATCATAAAAGGATAATAAGAAGTTGTTTGTTTACCTTTTAATAATTCCATAAAATCTACGGTTTATGAACTATCAAGTTGCTTTTTTATTTTTAATTGTAATGTAATAATGATTATAAATCAAACTTATATCATATGAAATTACATATATGTTTCTGTTCACAAATCCATAGGTGGGGTTTGTTGGGTGGGGGGTTAGGTTAGGGGCAAGGGTAGGCTACACAAATCCATAGGTGGGGTTTGTTGGGTGGGGGGTTAGGTTAGGGGGAAGGGTGGGCTATGGGGCGGGGCGGTCTGGATGGGTGGCATTGTGACGACGACAGTGATGGGATGTTGGTCTGGTGGCTGGGAGTGGGTGGGTATGACAGCGACAATAGTGGCATGGTGGTGGGTTGGGTTGGGGTGGGGGTGAGTGGTAGATGTGATAACGACAATAATGGTGTGGTAGTGGAGGTTAGATTAGGGGTGTGACAGTAACAATAGTAACATGATCATGGTTGGGATGTGCGATGAAAAGAGGCGGATCCAATCTTTAAGCACGGGGAAATCCGCCAATGAAAAACCCAAATCATCTACTTTTTAGTTTTACTATATGACTCACCTTATTGTAATTAAAAATAAACATAACTCATGTATTATACCCTCGTGTCCATCGGTTTAAAAGAAATATTTGAGTATCCATTAAATGTCTAAAATACCTTTCAACAAAACAGCAATGATGACAATGGGCAAGTGGGTGATTTTAGCATTAACCCCGGCCAGAAAATAGGTTGCAATTTTTTTTTTTGATTAACCTGGATATCCAACCCGCTATGCGAACCGACTAATCACAGGGCAACCACCTGCTTTGCAGATAGCCCGAAGTCACCGCATTTAAACCTCCGTGGCCACAAGGGGGTTTTTATTCATTTTTGAATTTGAACCTGAAACCTCCTAATACTTTTAACCTTTGGAGTCAATCTCAAACCGATCATGACCACAAACTCAAACCAATCAAACACCACCCTTATGGTCATGATCATTCTAATATTCGGAAAGTGTTCCTAAAAAACAAAATTTACTTTAAAAAAAAAAGGATTAATGATTACTTGTTAACGTCATGTGCCATCATTGTGTTGATTTTGATGCAGAACTCTAGCAGATGATATAGCATCGTCATGGGGGGCGAAATGGTTGCTTTAAAAGCTACATCAGAAACAAAGTTTCAGACGTGCAAGGCTCCTATTGTTACTTTCCCACGTGTCTGTAACGCACATTTTAAAAACAAAACGAGGGTTAAAACATAAGGTCTAGTAAGTAATCTCTTTTTTATTGGTATTACGGGGTGAAAATTACCAAAATATTATTTGAAAGCCCATGTTTATATTAATAATAAATAAACAAGAAACGAACATCTTTGTTGCATCATATAGATGAAACAACATCATCTTATCGTACCAAACCGATTGAAGTACCGAAGTTATCGCAACACACATAAAACATACCAACTTGTCGCATCTCATTGATGCGATCACATTTTTGTCGCATCATACTTATCAACTTGTTGCATCATGTAGATGCGATAATATACTTATTTGCATCATATTGATGTGATTACTTCATTTTGTCACACCACACTGATACGATAAACCCACTTTGTCGCATCACAAGGATGCGATAACACACTTTCCTTGCATCACAAGGATGCGATAAAACCAACTCATCGCATCATAAAGATTCGATAAACCAAACTCGCCGCATCATATAGATGCGATAACAGTTTCCACATGATCAAAATTTCATTTTTAACATATAGTTGATTTTGCTACCCTTATCCTAGTATACGTCTCTCCTGATTATGTCACCCTTATCATAGTATACATCTCTCCTGATTATGTCATCCTTATTTCAAAATTCGCTTCTCCTGATTATGTCACTCTTATTTCAACCAATTGATAATAATATATCGAAATCCAAAATTATACTAATAGATAGCATATAAACATATTCAAAATTCTCAAGTATAAAACCATACGGTTTCTTCACCAAAAGCAAATCAAATGATGCTTTTAAAAGTAAAACTCACTTTATAATCACAAAAAGACCGAAGACTTTTAAACAACAACGAATTCCAGTTAGACACACGAAATCAGATACTTTTTCTTCTGTTTCTTCAAACCAGTAACCACAAAGAAGTCTCACCAACTTTTTCTTCTCCTTTTTCCGATACTAATCTACATATTTTGGACATGAGACGGCGTAAATGGGATATTTTAAACCAGTTTTCAAAAACAACCCCTCAACTTACCACACTTATCCAAAACAACCTTCAAACTTTTAACTACAAACCCGGTTATTACATTATTGACACTATTCATTTCGTTAATTAGTGTACATTTTCGTTTTACTGTATGTGGCAACTGAATTTTGGAGATGATATCGGTTTGAAAAGATGTACTATTTTCATAATCATGTTCGAAGTTTGGAATATATTGAAGTCTATGCTCTATTCAAGGCTTATCGTGAACGAACATCATGGATATAAAGATGGATGACGGAAGTTGATGTACGGGATCTAGGTTGGTTGTTTCTATTTATCTTGGTTGTTCTTTTTGTATTAGCAAGACTTTAATATGAACCACATAATACATTAATTATGAGTAAGAGCGTAAATGATACGAGACAACTCGCGAGCTATTCGAGATCGACTCGGTCAACACTCGACTCGAATAGGCTCGGCTCAAGCTCGAACTCGACTCGACATATTAATGAGTCGAGTCGAACTACCCAATACTCGACTCGAAAAACTCGTGAGATACTCGATTTTTTATATAAAGTTAGTTTTAAAAATATAATCAGTTTTATAATATAATATGTATAAAGTAATGTAATAAAAGTGTCTTATCTATACTATCTTATAAAACATTTGGCTAAAACTCTTAAAAACTTTTAAAACTCTTAAAACTCTTAAAAACTCTTTAACCCGTTCATCCTTAAACGATTTCATCCCTATCCGATTTCATCCCAAATCTGAATTCGTGTAACTAACTGCAGATAAACACAATCAAATACAGGATAAACATCTCATTTTAAATATAAAAAATCTAAATATAATTAGGATAATCATTGAGTTTTAACAGAAAACTTAATTATTATCTTTATAAAATGTTATATTATTAAACCAAAAATAAATTATTCTATTACT